CTCTCCCACCAACATTTTTGGCATCAGTAGCTACGTATGGAATCCCTTCCTCTGGCCAGCATTAATGAGCTAATGTCATTTGTTGCCTAAGATAAATGTAAGCATTCTATTCACTCCACGTGTCCACTAGAGAAAAGGCCAAGGCAGAATCACAAGAACTACTCTTTGTTCTGTGGTTATGTACCACTTAACACATGTCTTCCATGGGAACTATTTTTCATTTAGTGGCTTTTACAAAATTGTTTATTATAATAACCACGAGTGCTGCTATCTATCAAATAACCTGTGATGCTTGATGTTTTAAAAAATATAGAATCCTGAGCTCTAACCTAGACCCAGTGAATTAGAGCTCCTGAGGATAAGGTCTAGACTCTTGATGCCATTTCATAATTCATTTATTCTTTTCAACAAATATGTATTTGATGCTTAGAACTGGGTACTGAGTGCTTGGAGTAGGTATTAATTTTGAGGAAAAACAGACATCCAGACCTTGCCCTCATATTATCCATCTGTGAAGATGAATGAAATCTACTGAAATAGATAACTCTTAAACATGCTAATAAAATATTCCTACTATATTAAGAAAGCTAATATAGGACTAATATATGACTTATTCTAGGGGTGGTGCAGAAGGAAATAGTTTAGATTTGAACTCTGACAGGTCAGGGAAGGAATTTGTCACTTTTGGAATCTGGGAAAAGAGCTACAATTCTCTAAGAGGACAGAAGGGCACATGGAACAAGAAGCATCGGCAAGGGCACCCTGGCTTAGCAACTGCCAGTTTACTAGTGTGCATGAGGACAGCTATGGAAGACGAGCTTTCTTTAGTGTCATCCTTTGCTTGAGCACAGAGTGCTGAGTTGGCCTCGATTCTGACTAAAGCCACTTTCAAGCAGTAGATCTTCTCGTGTCTGGTTGTGGTCTCATAGGGATCACAAGACCAAGTGAGGTGCAAAAAGTAAGTCTGAGACTGAATTTGAGACACACTCAGAAAAGCTATGCGGTCACTAGTCCTCTAGGATTTTTCTGACAAAATAGGCTCATTTTCTGCAAAGTTGGATAAAAATAAACCACTAGAAACAAAGCAAGCTTGTCCATTTTAGCAAAATACAAGTCTTTGAATCTGTATTCACTTTCTCTTTTCTGTGAATAATGATTATAAGTACAACTTCTCAGGGGACCATCTGTGCATTTGATACTACTAAATGCTTTCCAATTTGACCCTTCTAGCAAACCCACCAGCTAAATGTCACCATCCACTTTGGGAAGATGAAGCTAAGACTCTGAGCAGTTTAATAACCTGTATGCAACTCTCAGCTACAAAGCAGAAGAAGACATGGGTTCAGAGCCAGCTCTCTGTGAATCCAGATTTTCTAGCAGTTGATCTTTTGTATTACTTTCTTATTGCTAGTGACACAAATTATCACTATTTTATAGCTTAAAACAACATAAATTTATTCTGACTGCCAAAACATCTAGAGTGGATATAAAAGTTCCCTCTGGAGATACAGGGAGGGGTGGGTTTCCTTGTTCATTCCAGCCCTGAGAGGCTGCCCTTATTCTTTGGCTAAGCCTCCCTTTCTGAACTTCACAGCCTGCAGCCTTAGGTCTTCAAATGTCCCTCGCCCCCGCCCCCGGCTCTGTCACTACCTTTTAAGGACCGTCGTAATTATATTCATGGGCGACCTGGGTAATCTTGATTATATACCCATCTCACGATTCTTAATTGTATCTGCAAAGCTCTTTCACCATAAAGGATCATGTTCACATGCTCCAGGGATGTCTGTGGGGGTCATTACTTAGACTACCACAGCTTTCTAGGTAAATTTTTAAAATTTTTACTGGAGCCTAGCTGGGGGCCAGGGGTGCATTGCCATTAGGGCTGAGGCTAGTGGCAAATAACTACAGTCCAACAAATAGCTTGAAGTGTCTACACTGAATACTACTAGTGGCAATTTAAAATACATGTAAAATTAAAATGCACAATAATAATAGAACAAAAGACAGGAAGAAAGGAAGAGGAGATAGCACTTTCAATGCTTTGGGTGTTGTGGGGAAATTGCACATGTTAAAAATGTGTTAATATGTTATGGTGGTGTTGTCACTGCAGGAAAATGAAATGTGGAACTAGTAATTTCATAAAAAGGAATAATAGGAAAAAATCAATAAAGCAAAATAGAAGACAGTAAAGAATACAAAATGGTGATGTGAATGGAAAACCAGTAAGATGATGGTATATTTATCCCCAAATGCACAAATAATTTTATTAAATATTAACAGAAAACTTCATTTTAAAGGTAAAAAATCATCCTATGACCACATATTTCAAATTTTAGTCAAGGAACTCCAGAAGCCTTCTCATACTTGGGGCACATTGGAAGATTTTTAAATTTCAGTGGAAATAGCAATTCTTGGCCTCTCAAACCCTATGTAAATTACAAACTACTAGTGAAGAGTAGCTACTGATATCAACAGTAGATCATCAGAGGTTCCTATTGTGGAAGATTTTTTTTTTAATTGTAAAGAGGAAAAAAAAGCCAGAAAAATTGAGAAGCAAACAAACTGTCAAAAACAACAAAAGAAAAATGACAGTAATAACAACAGACAATAGTTATATAGGATTTCAAAACAAGATGATAGGAATTTAACAAAGGTTGTTATATTGCATATTGTTATCTTTAAAATAGTTGCTAAGATTACCAGATACAGACATCCAAGATTGATCGAACAACATAATTTCCCTTTGAACGTCCATAAAGAAGGATAAACTTGAGTCTTTTATAGGTAAATGGATGCAACTAAAGACCATACTTATAAGTGAAATAATTCAGACTTGCAAGTGTAAACACTGTATTGTCTAGCTAGTGTAAGATACTGAAAGTGTAAATAAGATCCAGAAGTTACAATAGGTGCAGTAAAAGGGAAAGAAACTGCTCAAAGGCAGATATTTGTAAACATGGATTTTTAGTGATTACTATAATATAAAGAATACTGTGTGAATATTAATTTGGAATAGGAAATGAACGAACTGGAAGTTTCCAATGTGATTACAAGGCTTGAAAAATTCTGCAGTGGCCCTCATCCCATTATTAAATAATTCTGAAGGACATGAAACTTAATTTGTTTGACTTATTTAATAGGTAGAACTATTGTATGCTGCTTTTACACTAGAAATGCCATGAAGAAAATTACTGAGACTTTGGGGTTACTGAGAACTAACTTCAGGAACCTTGATCATAGTGACTTAAAAGTAAAAATTGGATCCAACCAAAATGACAGGACACATGTTCAGATTCAAGATGTATGACTATAAACAGGGTAGAAACATACCAACCAAAAGCAAAATAAAGCCTGTGTGGCAATAGTGACATTGTGACAATCTTATGTTTAAATTATTAGTACATGTTTACATTTAAAATCATTATTCATATATAGGGGATTAAGTGTACTATCTTGTTATTTGATTTTTATTTTCTTCATGAATTAGACAAAGTATAATTTGAGGGAAGATTTGTTTCTGGAAATGAAGATATTGTATTATGATGAAGAGTTGACCTTCTACAAAATATGGCAATTTAAGTTGTGATATAATAATATAATCCCATATAAAATAAATGATGGACAGAAGTAGGAATAGGTAAAAGTACAATAAAATGAAATATTTTAACACAACTGTTTTAGCAACTGGTAGAATAAGATATCCCCCCCAAAATACTCCAGAGAGTATCTAGATGATTTGTACAAATGTACAAATAGATTGGACCTGACAGACACACAAATCACTCTTCTATTACTGCACCACATACACATTTTACAAATGAAACAGTTACCACAGTTGACCATATGCTAAGTCATGGAACAGTTGTCTTATCTATTTTTAACAATTTCAAAAATAACTAATACATATATGGCTTTAAAATTCCTCAAATGTTAGCAAATTATGCAAAACTGTTTCTAACCAAAATGAGTCAATGAAGAAATCACAACAGCAATTATAAGATATTTTGAATGGAAAAAATATGACATTGAAGCTTGTAGAATTTTATTCTTAGCATAAAATTAATGATCTGATGTGATATTTTAGAGCCTATCACAAACTGAGAAATTTTAGATGTCAGTAATCATGTCAAGAAGTACATACTTAAAAGAACAGCAAACACATTCAAAGAAAATACTAGTAAGGGTAAAATAAAAATAGAAGCAGAATCAACAGCATGGAATACTTACTTCCTTGGAGACTAGTGCAAATAATCTACCCTTCATAATCAAAATTAATTAGAAGTACGAGGAGGAAAAGTAAAAACAAGAGATTCCCAACTAAACAAAATTATTATATTTTCCAACAAATATTTCTTCTTGATTAAATATCATTGACTCTAAGTGGTAGTTTTATTACTTTAAATTAAACCTACTAGGCCTCAAGGGAGGGAAGCTATGTCTAATATTTAATTCATAATATACATCAGAAGAATATGCTTTCATAAAGTAAAGTGCGTTGTTCGTTGTTCAGTTTCTTCTGTTTTCTTCTTGGTAACAGACTTGCGACAGTGCTGATGGCTACTGAGGGTCAGAGAGAAAGCTTATCATCCCATTCCACTGGGGTGGATCGCTGGGGTAGAGATAAATGGAGACATGTATGAGTGCTTTGCGTTACACAAGAGAATGATACAGGAGGCGGGGAAGATGCCCAAGTGCAGACCCTCTCTGATTGCCTACATTCCAAGCTATGAACTGAGGTTTCCCTCTCAGGGAAAGACTATATGCTGCATAATTGCCTTTAATATAGCAAAGCCTTGTTTTAATGGATACTCATTTTTAAAGAAAAAAAAAACCTTTTAAGCTCATTTTCAGCATACCTACTAAAGAAATTGATCCTTTTTCCATTTTAAGAAAATGGTTTTTTTTTCTGTATCACATCTGTAAGATATAATGAAGAGAAAGATGAAATTGGCTAGAGGTTTCTCTTTTAACCCGCATGTCCCTGTGATCTCAATCTCCAGGTCAGTGCAAAGCTCCAGAACACTTCTCATTTGCCATGCCTACGAATCCAATCGATCAGTCTGAGTTTCCCGTTGGAACATCTTTGAAGTATGAATGTCGCCCAGGTTACTACCGAAGACGGTTCTCTATCACCTGCCAGAATACCTTAGTCTGGACAAGTGCTGAAAACTTTTGTAAACGTGAGTAACTCTGAACTGAAAACTCCTCCTTGCCAATCAGACATTTGTAAGGTGACTCAATTTATTCAAATTCTAGAACTAGGACACATATGACTTTGCAACTTTACCTGTGTTGCATTATATGTAAAGTATTCTTGTAGATGGTCTCTTCATATCTATCTACTTTGAGCTCCTGGTGCCTTATGAATCAGTTCTATAAGAAATGACTATAACAAGGCATGATTGAGAGAGAATCCCCACTCACTTGAGGTGCTGTCCAATTTTCACTAAAACTGTTAAGTGATTCAGAAGGGAAGTATATTCAGTAACTGGAAGAAGACAAAATTTCAGGCTGGTGAATGATACTAGTTTTAAAGTATAGTACTTTGGTAATAAACAAAGTATGTATGTTTCTGGAAGTCACAAGGTGAGGATGAGGATGAACTTGAGGGGGGCTTCTTTTGAAAGTGGTGCCCATGTGGTGGTTGATCCTAAAGTAATCTAGTGAGTTTCCTTGAAGTGGCAAAATCTGTGAATGCAAATCCGTAGTCCAATGTCAGATTGGCCTTCTAGGTACTGTAATTTCTACATAGCTCTAAAATTCTGTTCCTTTTCCCTAGGGAAATCATGTCAAACTCCTTCAGATCCCGTGAATGGCATAGTGACTATAGCCTCAGACACCAACTTTGGATCCCGAATTAGCTATAGTTGTAATAGAGGGTGAGTTGAGAGCAACGTCTCATACTACAAGAGTTCTGGGACAGGAATACCTTCAATTCACGTCTCAGAAATGACGACTAGTCTCCTACTGCCTAGTTTTTAACTTCTGACTGTACTGAACAAAAGTATGACAAAGTCAGAGGAAAAATTTATGTGCTTAGTTTGATTCCTGGTAGCCAAAACAACAACAACAACAACAACAAAATTTATGTGCTTGCTGGAAACCAGGGCAACTTCCCATTATTGTGAAAAAATAAGTGTGATAATGGCTTTTAAGGTCTCAGTTCATGCTCACTGGCCACACTGCTCTGTGCCTGAAGAGGCACCATACCTCATAGTAGGAATGCACGGTGGAGGGACCTCATTCCCTTCATGGCAGCCAGGAATCAGAGGAGCAGAAAGCGACTAGACTCCTAGAATTTCACTGAAGGCCATGCCACGGTGATCCAACTTCCTTCCACTGGGCTCCACCTCTGAAAAGTCTCACCACCTTACAGTAGCATCACAGACAGGCAATGAAGGCTTTAACGCATAGGCACATTTCAGATACAAACTACTGCAGCACATAACAGAAATAGTCACTGGGTGGGAGGATGTACTTTTACAGAAATAATTCTAATTTGGAATAAAGGCTGCTGCAAGCAAAGAAAGACATGGAGCAACTGATAGAGAAAACAAAATAGTGACCACAAAGTATATGACTTAAAACAATAGAAATGTTTGCTTCCAGTCTGCCCTGGAGACCAGAAGTCCAAAACCAAGCGAAGGAACCTCCTTTGCCTCCTTCATGTCTGGTAGCCTCAAGTGTTCCTTGGTGTATGGAAGTGGAACCACAATTTCTCTCTCTTTCTTCTTCTCTCTTTTGATGTCTTTCCTCGGTGTCTCTCTCTCTCTCCCTCTCTTTCTCCCTTTCTCTCCATCCCTCCCTCTCTCCCTCTTTCCCTCTCTGCCTCTCTGCCCACCTCTTCATTGTCCTCTGTTCTATAAAGAAATCAGACATGTTAAATTAAGGCCCACCAGATCCTATTTCTCTATAAAGTCACACTCATAGGAACCAGGGCTTACAGTGTAAACATATCATTTTGAGGACACAGTTTAACCCAAGAGAGTCACCTTAGTAAAGAAAGAATAGATTTAAATAACAGCAAACATGTACACATTGATATAGAATATCTTATACAACAACAGCAGAATATACACTCTTTTCAAGTGCACATGGAACAGTCTGTAAATTGCATGATGTATTAGATAAAAACAAATCTTTAAAAATTCAAGAAAGTTTCAATATGATATCAAGTATCTTTTCCAGCCACATGGTATGAAACTAGATACCAATAACAGGAGAAATATTATAAAATTCATAAAACTGTGGAAATCAAACAACAGAACAATGGATCAAAACAAACAATGGATCAAAAAAGAAATCAAAATATAAATATAAAATATCTTGACACAAATGAAAACTTATAGGATGTGGGAAAAGAAATGTTAAGAAGAAAGTTTATAATGAAAAATGTCTATCTTAAGAAAGAAAAAAAAACATGCAAATAAACAATTCATGTACCTCAAGGAACTAACGAACAAATTAGACCCAAAGAAAGAAAGAAATAATAAATGTCAGAGCAGAAATAGAGACTACAAATATAGAAAAGACAATAAAACTTAGACTTGTTTTTTATTTTTTGTTTATTGTTTTGTTTCTTTGAGACAGGATCTTGCTAAGTAGTTCAGGCTGGCCTCAAACTCATGGCTATCCTCCTGCCTCAGCCTCCTGAGCCACAGGCATGAGCCACCATGGATGGCTCTAACATTTGTTTTCTAAGATAAGCCAAAATTTAAACAATGAAAAAAAGGAAGTCTCAAAATCATAAATGAAATATGGGATAGTACAACTAATTTCATTAAATATGATAGATTATTAGAAACTACTATAAATAACTACACCCTAACAAACTGAATAACTTAGAAAATGGACAAATTCCATTTACTTACCAAGACTGAATCATGAAAAAAAGAGAAAATGTGAACATACTAATACATTAGGTAATCGATTCAGTAACCAAAAACTCCCAACAAAGAGAAGCTCAGGACCTGGTAACTCCCCTGGTAAATTCTGCCAAACATGTAAGGAAGAATTAATGCCAAACCTTACAATGTTTTCTGAAAAACTGAAGCATAGGGTACATTTTCAAACTTTTTTGTGAGTTCTACATCACCCTGACATAAAAGCAAGGTGAGGATATTATATCTAAAAAAAATTACAGGACAATATCCCAGATGGACATAAATGTAAAAATCCTGTGCAGAATACTAGCAAACAAAATTCAACCAAAAAAATGGACCATAACTTGTGATCAAATAACATTTATTTCTGATAGGTAAGGATAGTTCAATATATGCAAATCAGTAAATATGCTATATCACCGTTAACAGGATGGATAAAAATGATATGGCTATTTCAATAGATGCAGAAAAATTATTTTTCCCAATTCCATATCCCCTTATAATAAAAACTCACCAAATTAGCTACAAAAGGAAGGTACCTGTATACGATAAATGCCATTCATCAAACCCACAGATGACATTATACTTAAAAAGCTGAGTTATTCCTTTGTGATTAGTAACATGATCAGAAAGTCCATCCTTAACACTTCTGTTTAATATAGTATTGGAACCTCTAGCCAAAGCAATTAGGTATGAAAAAGAAAGACAAGTCCTCCAAATTGAAAAGGAAGAAGTTAAATTTTTCCTTTTGCAGACAATATGTAGAAAATTCTAATGATTCCACCAAAAAACTGTTAGAATTGATCCATAAATCCAGTAAAACTTCATAATACAAAAATCAACATGAAAAGTAGCATATCTACACATTAACAATGAAATACCTCCAAATAAAGAAAATAATGCCACTTGTAATAGTGTCTAAAATATAATCTAATCAGAATAAGTTTAACCACAGATGTGAAAGAGCTCTACATTCTATAAAATATTATGGAAAAAACGGAAGGAGACAAAAACATATTGGAAGATATTTTGTGTTCATAGATTGGAAAAATAGATGTTGTTAAATTTTCCATTCTACCTTTAATCAACCTACAGATTCAGTATCCCTATCAAAATGCCAATGACATTTTCCCAAGTACACAATGCAATCCTAAAATTTATATGTAACCACATAAACGTTGAGTAGCCAAGGCAGTGACACAGAAAAAGAACAAAGCTAGAAGCAGAGACTACCCGATTTTCAAACACACTACAAATTTCCAAATACACTAGCTATTAGAATAGCATGGCAGTGACCTAAGAACAGATACATAGACAAATGGTACAAAATAGAGGGGCCAGAAATAAATCCATGCATTTATAGTCAATTGACCTTCTACAAAGGTGGCATGAACACACAATGGGGAAAGGTAGCCTCTTAAGAGGCATGTGATGTTGAGAAAGCTGGATATCCACATGCCGAAGAATAATGTAAACTTAGCTCCCGTGATTTGTAAAAAATTAATAAAAAAGAGATTTAAATGTTAAGAATTGAAATTTAAAATTGCTAAAAGAAAAGAAGTTTTAGAAAATTACTAAAAGAAATTAGTAAAAGAAAAGTTTCTTAACATTCATCTGAGCAATGGTTTTTCTGGATGCAATCCCAAAAGACTGTAAGTATAATAAATTGTAAAATATTTACCCTGTATTTTGACTATATATGTGTGCATATATAACTCTTATATTCAAGAAGTTTGTAATAGCTTGGAAAAACTAGAGTTGGTAGAAATAACTATAATTTACCTTAGATTATAAAACTGTTCCATATGGTAATAAAAAGAAATCCAGTTGAGCAGGCATGAAGAAGAAATCGGGACCAGAGATTTAGCTCAGTGGTGCAGCACTTGCCTAGCAAGCATGAGGTCCAGAATTCCATTTCTGCAACAAGCCCCTCCACAGCCCCTCAAAAAGAGGGAGAAATTTTAAAAAGCCCAAAGAAAGATGTAAAATTTGGAACGCAGTAGTGCTTTGACACGTAGAAAAAGTCCGGTTGGCTGTAAAAGTCCTTTGAAGTATACATGAAGTGTGTAGGTTACCTGTGCATTAATTATGTAACACCCTTTATTCTGTCCTCTAGGCACCGACTTGTGGGCTCTCCCTCTGCTGTGTGCATGCTCTCAGGCAATAATGTTGCCTGGGATAGTGAACCACCTCTTTGTGAGAGTAAGTGGGGACATTCCTTCTTATTATGTGTGCTAATAGATTCTAACTTTCCTCTGGAATTACAGATTTGTTTTTGTGTGGTGCTGGGAACCAAACCAAAAACATGTACAATACTAAGTTAAGTGTTTTACCGCTAATCTACACCTCCAGCTCTACAAGAAATTATAAATATATTTATGCAATTCCTTTTTGCAGTCTGTCCTTCAGATAGCAGAAGACAGCTATAATGTTCTCCAATATTCCCCTGGTGTGTCATTGGCAATCTGTCTCCTTAAGTTTTTCTTTAATGCTGGAAAGCACCTTTTTTGAATATTGGGCCTTAAAGGAATACAAACCTTTAAATCTTATTTTTAATTCAGTTAACTTGGAATTAAGTTGGTTCTACAATTTCAACTATATTTAGTCATTCAACCTGGCTTATTAGTAAAGATCACTAAAGCTTTAGGCAAACCAGGACTCTCACATGCTGGGGATACAAAAATCTTAAAAAGCACAGCAGCACACTGCAAAACAGAAAGTCAGCATTTACTTTGACCCATATCCTGGGATATAAACTTAGGAAATAATATGGATCCTTCTCAAGGAGTTCACTACAGATTTTTCATTACAGCATTCTTTATAAAGGTAGGAATGTTGAAGTAGCTTAAGTTCATTGTTTCCAACTATGATTTGGAAATAAACTACTGAAAGGAAAAAGGTAAGTTAAAGTGATTCTAAACAATTTCCTAAGAAACAAAATATCCACACAAAATTATGAAAAATGCATCTACACAGGTGAGTATTACGAAATAATAAAAATTACATGTAGAAGTAATCAAGACAGATAACTCATGGGTAAGATCTCACGTTATTAAAAGATAATACATCAGTGGCTACATCTCTGTTTTTGTCTCAGTCTCTATTTATAAACTTCCCTATAACTAACCCTCTGTAGCTAAGGCTTTGAAGTATGGGAATTTGTTGATAAGCTATGTCTCTTTTGTACTGATACAATGCAAGCTTCCATTCACTAGACCTAGATCTCTTTTGCTTATACAAATTAAAGGACACTGCAATCACTTAGCCAGTGACAAAGGTGTCAGCAGACAGTCAGTGTGATTGCTGTTCCAGTGGGAATACATAGGGACACAAATGTCCAGTGGTTTAAAAAAATTTACATTCTTCTAATAACATATGATGCTTTTTCTATGCTGACCGGTATACGCTCATCAACATTTTTATATGCTTGCAAAATATAGGTTCGAACCTCATGCCCATTATTTACTGGTCTGTTCAGGTTTTTGTTTTATAAAAGTTCTTTATTCTTATATTTCCCCCAATAAATGTATTAAATATTTGTGTTTAAGATGTTTAATGTTAAATATTTGTGTTAGAATATTTTCTTTTAGGCTATGGCTTGATTTTTTACTTTCTTAATGATAGTTTTTGATAATCGAAGTTCTACTTTTGGCAGGGAGAAGTGCTGAAAATTGAACCCAGGGTCTCCTGTGTTAAACACACCATCTACCGCGAAGCCACACACTCAGCCCTGAGGTTCTACATTTTGATAGGGGTCAATTTATGAATATTTCCTTTTGAGCTCCTGCCTTTGCTGCTCTATGTTAGAAATCCTGATCTGTCTTGAAGAATATTTTCCCATATTATACTCTAAACTTTATTGTTTTGTCTTAATGATTAAGTGTATGATTTGTATGGCGTGTGGTTAAGTTTTAGGGAGTTCTGTCTGATTTTCATAGTGGATAGGCTTTCACTCTAATGCCATTTATTATAAAGATCATTTCTTGAACACTGCAGGATAACAGAATCATAGCCATAAATCAGATGATCTTATATGTTGGTCTTATTCCAGACAGACACTGTTATTTACCCACTAAATTACTATGTTAAGTATCATTATATTAAGATTTGTTATCTGGTGTCAAATATCTTTTTACTATGTGATTCTTCTGGATTTGCTTGATGGTTCTTGAACCTTTGCTTCTCTATAAAAATCTAGAATTGGCATGTCAATTTCCACAAAAAGAATCCTACTTGAATTTTTATTAGTTCAGTAAATTGATTTATAAACAAATTTGCATTTTAAGTTCTAGATTCATTAGCAGATACACTTATTTTTGAAATTTTTTAGTAGCATGTGCTAATTTACATTATAGAAATATTTTACATCTTCCATTAGACTTACTCCTAGTATTATTTTTTAAAGTTTATTCTATTTGTTCAACCTTGGAGCCAACAATCTCACTAAATGTACCTATAAGTTCAATAGTTTATCTGCATATCCTTTAAATTTGCTGCCTAATTTGCTTTCAGGTTAAGTATTTAGAATGTTTAAATTTATTATGGTTACTGATATAGTTAGGTATAAGTCTAACACCTGTCTATTTTCTGTTTAATATTTTGTTCCTTTATTCTTCATTTCTCACATTTTTAAAATTAATAAAGTTTTATTAGTTCAAATGTTCTCATTTTGCTATCTTTATTTTGTTATTCTTTTATTTTTGATGAGTGACCTAGAAACAGTGTACATCCTTGATTTATTACAATTTAAATTAAATTGTTTTTACCAATTCTAGGACAATGAAAACAGAAATAGTTTAATTCCATTTATGTCCTCCTGATATTTCTCTATTGCTATGCTTGTATTCCACCAATAATTATTTTTATTTTTATACAAACACTTATTTATTTATTTTAGTTATTTTAAGTCTATAACTAAAATTTCCAATATCACTAATCCTGTTGGGTCTATTTGTATCATCATTGATTTTGCTGGTTCTTATGCAATGTTATCTCTTCAGGTATCTGGTTATCTTTGTGCATCAGGAATTCTGTTTGAAAACTTGCCTGTAGAAATAATTTCAAGGAGGTAAATAAGCTGAAGATATTCAATGAGCATCATAGCTAGCTTTCCATCATTATAATAATGAAACACCTGAGAAAATTAACTTAGACAAGAGATTGTTTATTTGGGCTCCCAGTTCTAAGGTTGCAGTCCATGAGCAAATAGCCCATTACTCTGGGCCTCTGATGGGCCTGAATATCAGGGCAGGAGTGAGCTCGTGGCAGAGCAAAAATGTTGATATCATGACATTTTGATCAGAGAGGAAGGAGGAGATGGGTTCCCACAGTCTCCCATAACTGCACACCCCAATGACCTGAGGACTTCACATGAGGCTTCTCCCTCTTAACAGTTTCACCATAATAGCTCCATCCTGGAGACCAAGCTATTAAGGTACAGTCCTAAAGGACAACAAGGACACATCTTCTTTCAGGAAGAATTTTTGCTGGTTTTTTTTTTTTGTAAAGATAGTAAAATGCAACAAAACAAAACAGAGTAAAACCAATCAAGACAAAGCAGTGAAAGTGGTACAGAACTTCCAAGCAGGATAGCAGGAAGTCAACAACGGCTACCCATTTGTATGTCTTGTCATCTTCATAATAGTTGTTCATTCCATCAGATGTAGTAAAATCAAACCAAAACAAAATAGAATAAAACCACTCAAGACAGAACATTAAATAAAACAAAACAATAAATCGGAACAAAACAAAACAGTGGGATCAATATTGGATTTCAAAAACAAGACAGAAGGAAATCCCCATATTTGCTACACTGCATACTGTTATCCTCCTAATAGATGCTCCGACTACTGGCCCCAGGCCTGCAAAGTTAATCAAACTATACAAGCGGAGATTCTTGCTTCTCAGTCCATACCCCCGTTGGCACACCAGAGAGGTGATATGGTTTCTCTCTTGTGGGCCCTGCGTGGCTTGTGCCACTTACCAAAAAGGAAAATTGGCTTCTTGATTTTGATGTGCTCCCTCCAGACCCAGCATGGTAAATATTTGCCCCAAGAACACCTGAAAATTGGGATCACTTTAATCCAGTCTCTGATTTGTTTTGTTTTTAATTTTGAAAGTAGTAAAATATAACAGAACAAGACAGAATAAAGCCAAATGAGACCATGTAGTGAAATTGGTACAGAACTTCACAGCAGGTTACTGGGATAACAGTAATCAGTATCTTTACAATAGTTGTTCTTTCAATCACATATATCAAAATAAAATGAAATACAGAACATTATAGAACTTATCAAAATAGAATATTGAATAGAGCAGTACCATTAATCAGAATAAAGCAAAACAGTAATAAAAATATTTGCCTTCAAAGAGATGGTAGAAGGAAATCCCCTTTATTTGCTAGGGTCAAATTCCTAAGAGATGCTCAGATTTCTGGTTCCCATTTGCTAATGGGGGGACAGGGGAAGTGGGATTTTTGACTCTAGGCCGTGCACCATTAGGTTTACTATTGCTTTAGCAGGGAGGCAGGCTGGTTGCTTGGTTTCCCAACATCATAAGTTCCAACATAGTGTGGATCTCAGAAGACACTGATGGTTCTCCCCCTGGAAGGGCTGCAGTCTGCCACACTACAGCAGCTTACCAGGGAGGCTAGCTGCCTGCTTGGTTTCCCAGGGTCTAAGTTCCCACATGGTGCAGATATCACCAGCAGATACTGGTGGTTCTCGCCCTGGAAGGGCCGCAGTCTGCCACACCACAGCCGCTTACCAGGAAGGGGAGCCAAGACGATCATTTTTAGCGCCACCTACAGTCTTTGAAGAGTATTTCCCATCTTTGAGTTATTTTCACTTTTGTTCTCAAACCCTAGTCCTTTATTTTCCCAATAAAGTGAAAGGTCTTTCATTCTTGGCAAGCCTTGGACTCTAGTTCTGGTCTCCTGACTCCAGGAGATTAGCAAAGGTCAGCTCCACTTGTCATCTGTTCCCTTCTGGTTCAGCTCTCCGTTCCCAGGGGGAAAGCAGATCAAATACCCACTCTTGTCTGCATTTTTATGTCTTTTCAACCCAGTTTCCCACTCTGCATCTTCATCTTCTCCCTTCCCTTGTCCCAGTAAATGCTTCACCATTTGGTTAGCTCTCTGGGCTTCAGAGATATATTCTTTAAATTTCCAACATTTTAAACCTTTCTGGCGATCAGTAGAAGTATTATTTGATGTGAATTATTAAGATTACTATTACTACAAGCAGAAGCTTCCTTAAGTATTAAAATTGTTAATTTAGGGTGCTTTGTGGTGCTGGTTGAAATTTAGTTCTAGCTTATAGCTATACAGTATACTACATACTGTTCCTACATTTTCAGTTATGCATAAGGACTCTGAACAAGTATATCATCACCTTTACATGGACATCATTTATATTATCAGGCCTAAGCTTGATAAAGTGAGTGAATAAAGTTTCTGTCTTTGACATGTTGTGAACCCTTTGAGCTTATATTTGGAAGTCTGTGTTCCTTAAAAATGTGATGGAACTTATAGGAATATTTTTCTGTACTTACAACTTTCTTGGCCAATCCTGGCTTATTTTATCTTCTTGAGTGAATATTAGTATTTCATTTTTCCATTTCTATAATCTAGATTTCTAAACTATATAATATATTATTGTCTGCAGTTTCATAAATATTCTCAGATATATTTTCAAATATGTTGATTTTTACTGCCTATATATTTGAAATTTCTCTCATATTTTTTTCTTTTGGCAAAAGTTTTTATCAATTAAAAAACTATACTTAGCAACCAAGATAAAAATTAATAAAACAAGGGCAAAAGAGGAAAACTGATTAAACTCTACAACCACATAATCCAAGAGCTATTTAAAATCAAAAGGAGAGTTATACTAATAAATGCAAATGTTTACAGGAAACAGTAGGGAAGGCAGAACACAAGCTACTATGCCAAGGTAAGTAACAACTTTACAAAAACTTACCTACATATTAACAAATATTAAAAGCAAATAATGAATAAAAATAGTTTACCAGCTTATAAGATTGTTCTCCCTCATTATTCAAATAGATTTTATTTAACTTGCTCACCCTTTTTTGCAGTAATTCCTTGCAAGCCACCTCCAGCTATTGCTAATGGAGATTTCTTCAGCATCAACAGAGAATATTTTGTGTATGGAATGGTGGTGACCTATCGTTGCAACCCTGGAAAAAGAGGAAAGACCTTTGAACTGGTGGGGGAACCCGAAATATTCTGCACCAGCAATGATAATGAGGTCGGCATCTGGAGCGGCCCTGCCCCTCAGTGCATTATACCTAATACTTGCACACCTCCCCACGTGGACAATGCAATCATGGTATCTGAGAACAAAAGCCTATTTTCCTTACATGAAATTGTGGAATTTAGGTGTCAGCCCGGCTTCATCATGAGCGGACCCACCACAGTGCAATGCCAGGCACAAAACAAGTGGGGGCCAGGGTTACCAAACTGCTCCACAGGTGAGTCTCTCTGGGATTGATGAGCAGCCCGCATACAACAGAAGTTGCTGGACGACCAGGCGATTGCTTTATTCAGGAGAAGAATGTATGGGGAATGTGTTGTGTGAGTCAGTTTTCTTGGAGGAGGGGATGTATATGGGTATGTGTATATACGGGTATGTACATTGAAATTGAGAAATGAGCTAAACCTGAGCCATGGATGTGAACTTAGAGGAATTCAGAGTTTCTGTGCATGCATCTGCAGCCTCCACCTTGAGTATACTAATCTGTAGCATACAATGAGTGATGCATTCAATCAGGAGCTACAGTACAGGTCTGTGTGCACTTCATCCTTAAAACAAAACTGGGAGACACCTGCTGATTATTCCATGCTGTACAGACAGTGTGTCGCAGAGAGGTTAGATCATTTCTAACATGAAACAGACCAAAGACCACAACCCCATTCTGCCTGTCTCTAGACCACTGGTTTCACAGCATACAACTTAGATTGTTAAGGGAGGAATAGCTTATAAACATGTGGGAAGGAGGAGCATAAGGAGGAAGGCAGCACTGCCAGCAATCAGAGGGCTATTATGACTGCAGGGTTAGAATGTAGGTGTCTACACTCAGGCCTTAGGGCCACATCCGCTCCCAGGATATAACCAATCTTGCCGGACCCAGAGTCACTGGCCTTGGTAGAATCAGAGGGTATTAAAAGAGTCCTTTGAGCCACGTCTAGAAGCAGAATGTCTTCTGTCCTTTTCCCACAATTTAATTTGTGTATGTGCTTCTGAGGAAGAGACCTACACCAAAGCTCAGCAGACAAAGCCATTGCAGTTTTCAGGCTTCAGAGGAGAGTGGAGGACATCAGGACTGGGGTGTGAGGGAGTCACTGAATTTTTAACCAGAGCAGTCCTTAAAGCATCACAGTGCATTTATTGGAGTGATGATCCTAGAAAACAGATCCTGTAACAGAAGAGTATCTGTGCTGTCATTAAGGGAATCATTTCTTCTACTCTAACACCCCATTTTACACTAGAGAAAACTGAAGCCCAGAGAGGCAGACACTCAAAGAAAAAAGCAAATGATTATGTTTTCATTTAATTCTATAGGACCTACATGCATTTTGATCCGCTTTGTTCAAACCAG